ATCAGTATGTATTTTATCTATAGATTACAATATTAATAACATGTAATTAATTGATTAAATGAATTCTTTTTTAAAATAAAGATGGAATCCAAGTAATAATAGTAATAATAATAATAATAATAATAATAATAATAATAAGAAAAAGAAAAAGAATTCTGATTTTGATAATCGAAACATGAGATCTGCATTTTTATTTGTTGAAAAATATGTTGCAGAGAAATTTGGTCAATATCAAGTATGTCAAATTATCATGATAACTGATGGTAAATCTCCAGAAGAAAAAGGTAAGGCTAAATTAGATTGCCATTAACAACAACAACAATCTTATTTTTATATTTTTATTTTATGAGATTAATTTTTTTTAATGTTTAAAATCTGATAAATTAAGTGTATAAACTTTTGCAGCACCATTATCACCATCTTCATCACAAACAGATTCATACAAATTTCAAAATGAATTATGGAAACTTCATATAATTTGTTTATCAGATATTGTTCTAAACAGCAACAAAAAAGCAACATGTTTTACAATAGAAATTAATCATGTTTTACAAGGATATAAGGAATTATTGAATAGGATATTGCCATTGAAAATCACAAAAAATCACCCTAAAGGTGATTACATACTTGATAAAGGGGGTGCCTTTTGGTATTTGCCTTATCCACAAACTAATGCTTCTATTGAGAATGTTATAAATGTTATGTTGGACAAATATTGTATGTATTATCTATTTATTGGGTTGATACATTCCTTTTATTATTTTAGAAGATTAGTATTAATATCTTTTATTATTATGATTGTTGTTGTTATTGATAGATTTGCCCAGAAAATTCACACTCATATGTGGTCAATTTACATTTCCCATAAAAATTTATCCATTAATTCATGTTTTAGATGAAGAAGATGGTATGTTATTATGATGTATGTGAGGTTATATGAATGTATAACATATTTATATTTATAATCAAATGTATTATATTATGTAGTTCAGCTAATGTCAATGATAACAATAGTGGGATTTAAATCAAAAAAAGAACTTTTTGGTGAACCAACTCGATATCGTTTTGGGTTATTTTTAGATCAAGATAATAATAACAATGATGACAATGTAAATGTTGAAAAAGAAAAGATGGAGATAGAGGTAAACTTATTAATGGTTTTAATTTTAATAATAGCAATAAAGTAGCAATAGTTTTATTAATATTTTTTTTTAACTTTAATTTTTAAGAATGATGTTGACAACAACAAGAACCAAAATGATTATTTTCATTTACTTTGCTTGTCATTGAGAAAAGGAGGAAAGGTTGCAGTGGTTTTAATAGATAATAATGATACTTATGCAACCATAGAGCCATCACCACCAATTCAAGATAATGATGACAATAATGCTGATAATGGTGATGGAAAAAATATTACGCATTTAAAAAAATTTTTTATGACTGAATCATGTATGTGTAATGTAATAATAATAATGTTTCAGGAGCTTTTTTTTCAATTAATAAATTTTTTTTGATTTATTAGATATGATTTTCACCATCTATTCAAGGGAAAATCATCACAAATTGTTAAGCCCTTCTTCTCCTCCTTCAACAAATCAACACCCAAAAAGTTACCTAACTGATAATATTAAATTACCACAACCTGAATATATTGATGTAAGATATATCAGTGTGCTTTGTTTAAATGTTTATTTATAATATATATATATAATATTAATTAAAATTTTTAATTTTAGACTTTATTTAATAGGGTTAAAAAATATATTAATAATTTACCAAACGAAGATGACGACGTAAAATTAAAGTCAACGTATTTATTGATTATATATATATATAACTTAATTAATAATGATAACCACTATTCATTTGTTTTCACTTTATTAACTATTAACTATTAATTATTAATTATTAGTATTCAACAATTGCAAACTGTAATTCAAACGTTTAGTTATATCTCATTAAGAGAAAATTTGGTTAATTGTTTACACGATTTAAGGTACTTACAACCATAATTATAAATATTTCCTTCCTTCCTTTTAATATATATTTATGAATTTATTTCTAGAGAAATAATTAACATTTTTTTTGGAAAATAGAATTGAATCACCCGAGGTTCAAAGTAGAATGATCATAGCAGATTGTTTACGACTATTAGGCGAGGAGGATTTAGAAGAAGAAGAGGACGAGGAAGAAGTTGAAGAAGAAGATATGGTAGATGAAGAAGATGTTGATATTGAATCGATGGATTATGATCAACAACATGTACAGCAACAGCAGAAAGTGGAGGAGGTTGTTATGACAGTAAAAGGAAAACAACCAGCATATTTTCCTTCATTACCAACATCAACAGCAACAAAAAGTGACAATAATAGTAATGATAGTGGGCCCAGTTCAGGTTCTCGTGAAGAATCTTCGTCACATAGTAGTAGATCTAAAATTTCTTTAAGTAATTTGTTAAATTAATGATGTCACAATGTACTAAAATTCCAAATAAATTAATTTCACACATTTTAAATGTTTATCTAACATCTACTAATTTGAAAGATGTCATGTGTTCAAAGTATGCATTGCATATTTTTATTTTATTTTAATTGCAATAAAGACAATAATTATAACAATTAATTTATGATTAATTTGATATTAAAAGCATTTTTGCTTGTACTCAGCTACTATTCGAGGACAAACAGGTTCTGATCCAAACCTTCTAACGATAAATCTGTTTCACGTGATACATTGCTATTACACACATGACTAAGTTGATCTAGCCGCTGACCAATCAGAGGTTAGGGTTTCAACCCCTAGTTGCAGAGCCATATCTTTATAATTAATATGGCGAACCCAAAAAAAAATGGACTCTCAGTGTTGAAAAGTGTAGAGACTGCTATTCACCATTTAGGATTGGAATGTGTAATGAACAGTATAATTACGTATCAGTTATAACTTCACAAGATTGGCTATATTGTTTTGAATTTAATACTTTGACTCTGTGGTTTTCAAAGTCTATGCCATTCATTCATCGTAGATCCCAATGATAAAACTATATCAAAGAAAATGTTTTCATAAAATGAAACCATTTCCTGACATGCCTAGATACAGTGTGTTTCAAAAAAAACCGGAAAATTATTGTTGCTGGAAAATTTTTGTAACTTTTGCTAAAAAAACAATCTAACTTGTTTCAAATAAAATTTAAACAAAGATTTGCTTTTTAAAGTTATTTTAAATCATTTTCTAACCGAATCTGATGTTTAGTTTTTGAGTAATTAGCTTTTAAAATGTGCAATATGGTTGAGTTTTACTGTTTTTTTTCCAATTATATATTATTAGAATAAAAGGGATACATCTACCTGATAAACACATCACATTATGAGCATTTCATTCACAAATATCTATTTCAATATTAATATTAATAAGTTGAACGAAATAGGTGATTTGGCTCATATATAGAAGAGTTGATTGTTGGTTCACAGTTGAGATCACGTGATTTAATACAATTTATCTACTGGTTTTTTTTTGTTTCTTCAAAATATTTAGTAACCATTTATCAAATAATGAAATAAAAGTCAAAATTTTCAAGGTCTGGGACAATTCATTATTAAAAAAACGAGATCTAATTCCTGATTTGTTTCTAATTAGTTTAATTTGATCAAAAAATCAAGATGTTGGTTTATTAATTAAAACTAATAGTGAAAGCATTTTGTATTAAAGTATAGTTAATAAAAAGTACTGCTATTAATCTATCGAATGGGCCATTTTTCATACAAATCGATGCAGTGGTTGTTCCACAATGATTGATTTAATTTTTCCGGTTTTTTTTGAAACATACTGTATTTGCTAACGTGTGTCAATATTTTTCATATGGTAGTGCTTTTATGCTAAATGATTAAAGACTAGTGCCGTAAATTATGATGATGGTAGTAATTGTATTTACGGCATATAAAAAGTGGTTGCAATTACCTTTGCGACCACTTTTGCAACCATACTTTTTCCTTTTTTGGATTACGGCACTAGTCTTTATAAATGATCTTGCTCTTTATAAATGATTATAAATAAATAGTCTAATAGATCAAGTTTCATGAAATCTGTGCTATAATTTAGGGAATGGGATTCTCACTTCAACTGACAAATACACTTTGATCATGGATAGATTAGACACAGTGTATACCCTGTAGGTGCTGCCTTTTGGATTTAATGAAAGTACTATTTTATAGAATATGTGAATACGAAACATGTAGTTTAAAACAAAATCATCTGGAGTTGTGGTATCTGGTACATGTCTGGCATTTTGTATATAGAGCATTTGGAGACATTGATGGGATTAAAGTTGTGAAGAAATATTTATTAGTTCTTTGCTTATTAAAATCATGAAAGAACTGTGGCAGCTGTATTAGCATTAAAAAGAAAGACATCAGGAAAGAGAGACGGCTTAATTATTTGTAAGATCATAGATGTTCTGGGGCTTTATGAGGGACAAAGTTTTTAAAAGAGAGAAGGCTTAATATTTTTTAACTCTTATTTTTGCTTTATTCAATGCGTATTTAAAGATAAAAAAATTTGGGATTGCTATTTCACCACACTGGTGATTATCACTGCAATACTAAATAAATTTACTCAAAAAATTTCTTTTATATTGAAATTCTATTTACTTGTTTATAGCTTCAGAATATATTGGATATAATAAGTTGTCTAATGGATCATTCTTTATAACAAAAATCATTGTTATTAAAATATAAACTAATAATATGTTGGGAGGTCTTAGATATAACTATACTTACAATTGAAAAGAAAAGCGGAATTTCAGTAGAAGTTGATGTTAGTGATGAAGTTGTTGGGATATTTTCTCTAATAAAACAAAACTAAGTTAATTTAGTCATCAAAAAATTCAGAACATTAGTTTTATAATAAACCTATTGGTTTTGTAAATCAAGCTTTTTGTTCTTACTCTTTAATATTAAAAAAAAAGATTTTAAAAGGATTATTAACTAGAGTGACAATGAGTGGTGATAACCACCATTCTTTTGATAAACACTTACCCCACAATCTCTTTTTCTTGTTGCTATTGTTTTCTTCTTCCTTTTTGTTTTTCTGTTCTAGTCTTTTTTTTTTTTAAGAAAAGAAAATGGTTATTTGATCAACAAAACATGCACACTATTTATGTTATGTATGGAACCCCTATTATTATTTTGATTTTTTTTTTGGAAAAACAATTTATTTTTTAAATGCAAAACATAAGTGTTGATGTTTAGCATAATTTGGTTCTAAAAAGAAATGTGTTAATAACTAACCAGAGGTAACTTTTTTTTAATTTGCATTGATATAATGTGGTGTCTTTTATTTTATATAAATGTATATTATTGAAATCAAAACATGAAGCAGACCTTGCTGGATAATTATAAGATTCTCATCAATGGTAAACAAATGATTGGTATTTTGCTTTCCATAATCATTATTATTATTATTACAATAAATAATTACAAGATGTCAAGCCAGCACACCATTGAAAAAGAAACATTCTAATATGAAACATTTTGATACAGGATGTTTCAGAAATTAGCAGACGTTGAATACCTTGAAATACTTACAGCCATTCTCATCTTCCTTGTGTACACAAGGCTAATCTGACTAGTCTCCCCCAATGATACAACGATGCAACCAAATTCTAGGAGGGGTGGGCATGTCCTGGAATTTATTGAGATTGCATCAACTGTCAAGGACATCTTACCTAATCTTTTCTCACAGCTCCAAGACCAGAGAAAGCTGCTGCCATGTTAGTTGCCAAGTTGACTGCAATGATCCTACCTCTATGGTAGTGTCATGTAAACATCCAGATCCATCAAAGCAACAAGAATCTGCAGCTTGTTACAAGCACATGAGGTTATGATGACCCTGAAATTGTGTTTGGGCTCTGATGTTAAGAGGAAAGGTGTAAAATAATATCTGTTCTGCTATATAAATTAATTATTTTCTTAAATTCTCTGTTTCTTTGATACTAACCAATTTATAATTTTGGGTAGGGACTGATTGGGCAAAACCCAATTCAGTCCCCTGTCCTATAGATTAAAATTATCACATGATTATATATATCTTTGTCAGCAATATGGTCAACAAGAAAAAAGTTATAAAATGGCTCAGACTTTGTTTGGTATGTTATGTAAAAATTAATCATTTTCCTGAATTTTCTGTTTCTTGATAAATTTTTTATTTGATTAACCAAATTTATTGTTTTTTAAATGGTAATTGAATACAATATATTGTAGGTTATTTTATTTCATCTAGGAAATATAGTTAGTAGGTGTATCACCCCAACAAAACAATAGCTTATGTTTGTTGCAGATGCCAACTTTATGCTAGTGTGGTAATAACACAAAGCAATCATCACACAAGTGCTGACTCTCAACAGTGATCAATGCTCATATGGTAACAGCCAAGTCTGGTATGAGGGAAAGATAAGGGAAATTTTTTGTCGACCTTATAAAAGCCTCCAACTATGGGTACCTTCACCTGTGGAATAAATAAATTCTACAGTTATGAAGAGTGTGAAAGCACCTGGCCATTTGTTGGTGTGAGGAAATTTTTTATTAAATCTGATACCTGTGATCAATATCAGATTTATTATTCATAAGGAACTATACACGGGAAGGGAAATATATTTTTTTGATCTTCCCTATTTATTTATTCTTGTGAACCCCGGAGATCTGGTGGACATGCATTATTAAAAGTTTCATTTATCATGGCCTTGGTGTTATTACTACTGGGGTGATGCAATTGTTTGTTATGTCAGAGATGATATCAAATGTATTGAATAATCATTGTAAGGAGAAAGGAATTCACGCATGAGGAAAGTATTAAATAGCAATATTGTTTATTTTATTTTTTATTTTAACCAAGATATATAATTAATTGCATTGAAAAAATACGAGATAAAAAGTTGCCAGAGTGATTAACAGGAGAGACCGTCCTATATAAGGAATGGATTTTCACAATTAATTTCAATTTTTTTTATACAGTTTAAAATACTTTTACAAGGGTATCATGTAGCCCATTCTTGCAATAAATCATGTGTAAATAATTACACAAACTTGAAGCTTTACACTTTGTTGTTATCATATCTTTTGAATCCCTTTGAATCCCACAACTTTCATAATATGATTTACTCGAAGAAAAATTGCCTGAAATTAAACATTGCACAGAATGTAAAACCACTGAATTGAACATAAAATTATATATATAGGGATAAATGTATATGAAAAGTAATAACAAGTACAATGGTTCTGCTGAATATCAAAAAGCAATTGATTTTTTAGAAAAGGGATGTAATTGTGGTTGTTCTTCAAGAATTCCCAGGAACAATTTGCAGAATTAAGAGAATCTTTTCAGGCTCTCTCTAAACCAGAATAAGACATATTTTTAATGGCACAGATTAAAGCAATGGATGGTGGGTCAATTAACAAAAAGTGATTATCAAAAAATTTTTACCATCTGATTATTATTTTTTTTTAAATAACAAATTTTATTATTTCTTAGAACTTGGGACATTTGATTTTTTTTTTATTATGTAAAATTTTGAGAAAATATAAATATTAAAATCATGTATTTTTCCACAAAAATCATCCATAATTTTGCGCAGCATCATGAAAATAATCCAATTTTTATTGGTGGATTGGTTGTGTGTTATCCTTATTTAAAAATTGATTTGGCGATTGCGGACAATTTTTGGAGGATGAAGATCACAAAATTAATTGAAAATTTGTGGAATTAATAAAAAACAAGGTTCGGATACTTTCTTACAGGCAGTATATATGTTGAATACATATAGAATAATAGTAATTGGTACAACTTGAGAAGAGATTTATTTTATGTGACTGATCATGTGACCAAGCTAAAAATTAAAAAAAAACCTTATAATTCTAAGTAAAATTTATTCAGTTACTAAATATTGAAATCTATATATTTCAAATTCTTCTAATAAATGCACTTTCTTGCTACTATCTTTAAGACTTAAATCATATTCATAACTATGAGAATTATAATAGCAATAAGGTTCATTATCAATACTATTGCGTATGTCTAAATCACTAAAATCAATTAATCTTTCATGAAATTTTATGTTGTCTACACTAAGATTAACAACAATTTTGTCATGATAAATTGCTCGTTTAGGTTTTTTGACTTTACTCAATATTGCATGGTCTAAATCATAAATTTTAAAAATAAAACTTTTATCAGTTTCAATCCGATATGTATCATTAGGTGACATTTCTTTTATATTCCAGCAAACTGGATTATATCCCCCAATTAATTCTCCTGTGTTTTTGATTTTCATAATAACCACTGTTTGTTTAACATTGTAACATTTCTTTTCAAATGCTGACCTTGAAGTTCCATTTTTAGAACTGCTAAAAATTAATTCAAATTTGTATGATGAGCTATTTTTATTATTATTTATACCATTAATCCAATTAGATATAAAATGTTCTGCTATTGAATCAAGTAATTTTCCTCTTTGTCCTATTCTTGGATCTTTTTGAAGAAATGATCTTGGCTGACATTCATTACCAAGATAGTATTCAATAATCTCATCATATATATCTTTATTAAATACTTTTCTGTATTGTTTAATTTTTTTACAGAAATCATTTGAGGATATTAAATTGAATCTCACTAATGGGATAATATCATTTAAAATGTTTTTCATTTCGATGAAATCACCTTTGCTCCACTCTGAAATGTTTTTTTCCGATGCTTCCCTTTGCCCAAATCCCCATTGAATAACATACTCCCAAATTTCAATTTCAGTTAACTTTAACAAATCACTTTTCAATATAGTTATAAGCATTGACTTTTCAATGGCTGCAATATCATTAGACTTTAGAAATAATAATTCGGGAGTTTCATTAATTATCTCATCACAATAAGCTTGAAGTAAGTCAAATGATTGGTGTTTTGATGAAACTTTATGAATATGAATTAAATTTTTCTGTATCCATTCTTTATTTTCCACAAATAAATGATTTTGTAAACCTTCAATTAACTCATTAAAATTTAATTCATCACAAGCTTCCAGTAGTTCAAGAATTTCATCTGGATTAAAATTATCAATATTAACAATCCCATTATAGATATATCTTTAAAAAAATATATTTTTAATTTTTTAGAGATATTAGTTTATTAGTTTTTTGTTTAAACAAAAAAGAAATCAAATAATTTAAATAAAATAATTTATACGTTAAAAAAACTTTAAATGATTTTGGAGAGATATTTTCTTTTTCAAATAAAATAATTCCATCTTTGGATTTTTTTACCCAATTATTTGATAATGCTACTTTAAAATACGAAGATCTTGCTTTCAAAATATTGGAATGGGCTTTGAAAATTTCCTTGCCTTCTCCAATTTTGATTTCCATATCATAACAATCAGATTCATTCAACAAGTTTGTTAAATCATTTAAAAGTTCGTAAATGTGCTTTAATGGAAAAGGAATTTCGTTAGATTTGATAAGATTGTTAAAAAACATGTTGGTATTGTTGAAGGATAAAAAACTATTGTTAGACATTTTGAATAATTGTTTTTATATTAGAAAAAATTATTTTTGCTAATATTAACGCAAGAAAACAAAATTGGTGTATATATGTTCATAAACTTAAGCTACATGGACAAGCGTTTAATTTATATTTAAAAAAAAAAGATTTAATATTTATGGCAAAGCATTATCATGGCCGAGCAGAAAAATGTCTTTTTCCTTTAATGTTAATATTAAATCAAATCTGCGTGGCTTCGTATTTGACAGATATTTTTTAAAATCACCCCAATTTTTCATCCAGAGAATAAAAATCACGATCTTTTTGTGCCGATCAAACTTTAAAATTTTTCCTCCCACGATTTTTCTCATCCATAAAAAAAATTAACCGCTTTAGTGGTAGCAATAATAAAAACTAGTGGCAGGATAAAAAGGATATTTTTATTATAAACAATAGTAATAGTAATAGTAATAGTGAATATTCGAATATTCATTTATGTCGATCATGAATATGGTGAATATTCGGTACTACATACCAAATTAGGAATGCTAAAAATTTCCAATTAATCGTGTTTCGGACATGTGACCTTAAACTCTTTATTTTATTTATTGTTTCATATAAATTAATTTTAAAAGAAAAGATTTACGTCACTTTTTGACCAAGTGAAAGAATCGTTTAATTAAAATTTTATATTAATATTTCGGGTCTTGTTTATAATAGTAGAGTTTCTATTCGCAATACAAATTATTATTCGAATTATTCGTTTGTTTTATTCGAATTACCTCGTTTCGCTGTTTTATTCGAATTACTTATTTTATTCGCTTTATTCTTACTCGTTTTTATTCAAATTATTCGCTGTTTTATTCGTTTTATCCGAATTACTCATTTATTCATTTTATTCGCTTAATCAAATTATTCGTTTTATTTAAATAAAAATTATTAATTATTCTTTAAACATTGTGCATGGCTTTTGTTCATGATTATAAAATAAATTATAAACAATTGATAACTTTTGTTTATACTTTTCAAAAAACATTGTCATCTCTCTATTACTGTCTTCACTTTTTCAAGCCAAGAGTAAACTCGTAATCAAATTGGATCAAAATCTTTACATACTTTATTTAATTCTTGTCTGGTTATTTCCTTATTTTTTTGCTTTTGTGTAGTTAATGCCTGTTTGGATCTTTCATTACTTTTTTCACAAATAACAAATTTATCCATTTTTAATACTTTTCAAAAGCTTTAATATGAATGGAGTGAATAAAAAAGGATATCTTATATTTAAAAAAGTTCGTCAGAAAAAAGTATTGAGAGAAAAAGTAATGATTTTTTATACAAGTATTTGTGAACTGGCATTTATATAATTTTAATATTTTATTTGGTCTAACTAAATCCCGCACATTAAGCCACAAATTGAGGTCGGACGGTACGCATCTCTAAAATTATACTGTGCGCAAATAAATTATTATGCTTGGAGCGAGCGTTCGCACATAGATTTTAGACACTGAATTAAAGGATATTATTTTACACACTTTTTGAAAAAGTTTTTAATATTCAATTATCCAAGTCATGAATGCAAGGACCAGTAATTTTAATACAACAAACTCATTCCAATTGATTCCAAATGGATAGTTCAATTTACCAACCTTCACAGTTGTGATTTTGTTAATCATCAGAATCTCCAACTTTTTTAATGATTTTTATTATAGTTGCTAATTTTCCATATTGATCAAAATAACTATCATGCCGCCTAATCAAGGTCAATTTGACTCACTGGTGTTTCGTCGGCTACTAGTGACGTGATTTTTGCATTCATCGGTTTTGATACTACAAGTACCACGGCACAAGAAACTAAAAATCTCTAACAATTGGTGTTATGATTATTTATATATTAGTATGATATGATTATAGTATTATTCATGAAAAAGAAGTTATCTGAAATTTTTTAAAGCCTCGTATTAACAGGTGTTGTATTATATACACAATTGAATAGCCCAGAACCTCTTTCAATAGCAGTAAATCAAATGTGTATAAAATGGCTTGCCATAACTACAGATTTAGGTGCTATTAGTTCTGTGGTTTTAGTATCTATCTTTAATGGGTCAACCACGTATCTTTTATTCAATGGCAATGTAATAATAATAATACAAAGGAAAAATTAGTTTCACAGATTATTTTTTCTGATTTAAGGTACTATATATTTCACTAGCTTTATTTGCTCATTATTTGCCTTCTTTATTGTAAATAATCCTAAGATTTAAGACAATTTAAAATACCTGGTGGTCTATTCTTTGTATCAATTGTTGGTGCTTTATCAAGCTTGTTGTTGTTGGCGAGTGCAACTGAAACTAGTAGTGAAAGATTGTTTATTTGGATGACAATAGGTTTATTGATTTGTGTTTTTTTTATAAAAGAAAATATTCAAAGGCTAACAATTTTGACGACAATAAATTAAAAGAAAAAAATAATGGTAATAGTGGTAATGAGAATAGAGGCATAATTGATTTTCGAGAGGAAGAAGAAAACCATAAATGATTGAATAATAAATTTAATATAGTAAATGCATTTGTTGAAGAATTTTCAATTTAGTCATTCATTCGTCACTTTCTAATGAATTTAACGAAATGATTTTTTTCCCTCAGTAATACATACATACAACCTTAGTATTTATTATAAAGATTATATATAATCAGAGTTTTACCCAAAAAATAATCATATTTATCATCATTAGTAAAGATAAAAGATTTTTCATCATAAAGCTAGTAGTATCAACTCCCCCCCCCCTTTAATTAATCAATTGAGATTTGGAATTATTTAAATAAGACAACGTGGAATATTTACAGATTAATAATAATATAAATAATATATATTTTACATTTTTATTTTACATAAATAAATAATAAAAATACATTGAGTTGGGAATTTTATTGTTTATTTTATTTATTTCTCATTCATTAAATCTTGCCACTATTAGATGATGATGATGATGAACTTCTTCTCCTTTTTTTATAAATAAAATCAACTGGTAAAGGAGGACCACCATTACTAATTGATAGAAATGGTCTAATGTTAGGATTTGATATAGATGGTTTAGGATTAGGATTTATCCTATTCACTATTTTTTTAAAAAGAATTAAAAAGGATTAAAATGCATATATATTTAGAGAAAATAAATAATTTTTTATGATATTGACACGCTACCATAACCGCTACTATAATCAGTAGATGCAGTGGTGATAGAATAATGTTTCTTTATCAAATCACGAAATGCATTTTGAATTTTTCCCAACTAAAATATAATAATTGTTATAATGTTAGAATGATATGTTTACGAGTCATCAAATGTATTTATAGAATAGAAATAATAATACTTGATCGGGTTTCTTAGTATATATACGAATTACTACTTCTTCGAATTGTTCGGGTGCTAGATAACTTGTTTCATTTCTATCTATATTAAAAACTACAAATAATATATTTGAACGAAATAATCAAAGTTGAATATTCCTATACACACACACATAATATTATTCACCTTTATCACAATGTTTTTTATAAAATTTTACAGAATCCACAGGATTGTCACTTTTTTTAGAATAATTGATTTTGTGTTTATGGACAATTATATCTTCTTCATGGAAATCTGATCGATTTAAAGCCATTAAATCTTCGATATGTTTCTAATTATAATAAAAATAACGAAATAACGGTGATAGTAAAATTTAGCTTGATATAAATAGTCAACTATTAACTAATTGATTGATCGATTAATCAATTACTTTTGTAATCTTATCTTCCATACTAGAAGGTATTAATAATTCATCAACTAATTTGTATAATTGCCTCTTTCTGATTCTTTTCAAAATTTCTTGAGAATCTTTTAATCTCTAATAATAACATATATATATAATATTAATATATTTAACGTATCACCAATTGGTTTTTAATTTTCAATTTTACCTTATCTTTTGAAAATTCAATTTGATTAAGAATGCTGTCATCCAATTTTAAATACTCACTAGGATCAAAAATCGATTCTGAAAATTTGAAAACATCATTTGCCATAACTAAAGCGTCTGCCAACATATGATCAATTGCTGTAGCTAAATTTATAAGCATCTAGTTAATTAATCGATCAATTTGTCTATCTGCTAAATGGTCTTCCACTGAAAATAGAAATAATAATGAAATATTATTTACCTACGGGATGTTGATAAACTTTTTTGTGCAAGGAATATCTTGTATGAAATAACTCATAAATGTTATGAGATTCCTTATGACTATAACAGATTTGATCATCGATAACACGACTAAACTTCATTAGTCGCGAGCTGTCATATGATGATTTTATTCCTATATTATAACAATCTCGCTCTAAATAATCAAATTTATCCACATCAATTGAATTACGTTTGTTTGCCACAATATCAAATAAAAATTCACGCCCACTGTTTTCTGATTTATTTCTATTTTTAGTAGTAATTAAAGATTTTCATTAGGAAACATTTTATTCAATGTAAAAAATTCATAACAAAAAATTCATTTGGTTACCTGGAAGGATCTTTACCAGTTATTAAAGATTTAATAAGTTTTACCTCTTCTGGATTCAAATCAATATGATTCTCGTCGATTAAATGATCAAACATCTTTACCGACCCCTCTTCATGACTCCATTCAACTCTAAATAAAATAACATTATATAAAAATGTAAAATTATAATAATAAATAATAATAAAAACAATTGAATAAATTACCCAAGTTTAAGTTTAGGAATAACACGATTATCAAAAACATGACTAAAAGGTCCATGACCTAAATCATGGCATAAACCTGCCAATGTCACACATTTTAGATCAGACTCAAATGACCCAGATTTAAGTTCAGGTTGATTTTTATAAAGTTGTTTCAACAGTTTATTTGATAAATGACCAACTCCTAGACAATGTTCAAATCTATTATGACTTGCTCCAGGATAAACAAAATATGTAGTCCCTAATTGTTTAAGGTTTCTTAGTCTTTGAAATTCTGGTGTGTCGATGACTTCTATAGCCCAATCATCAAATTCCATATATCCCTACAATAACAATGTAAAAAAATTATTTTGATTTTCAGTTTAATGATTTTTTTTATTATAGATTTTAAAATATATTTATTTACATGAATTGGGTCATTTATTTGTTTGATGTCGTAATTCATTTTTTACGAAAAAAAAATTGGGGAAATTTTTTTTTAAATTTAAAATTTTAATTTTTTATAGAAAAAAATTTCAGGGGATAAAGTGATAATCAATGCACGTTATACCAGGGCTCGAAATTTTGTTTCGAAAAAAACTGGTTATTTTTAAAGCATCTCAGTCAGTCAATATGTGATGTTTAAAAAAACAAGTTATTAAACTCGATAAGTTGGTCTTCATTCATTCAATTGTTTTTAAGTAAAATTTGCATGTGTAACAGTAGAAGTATGAGGCGTGAGAATTTCTTTGTTTTGCGATGTTGCTAAAAACGAAATGAAACGTAGTAGTATATAGTAGGGCGTAAATTACACACGAATCTTATTTACTAACCATTTTTCAAAATACACTTGAAATGAGCGGAATTCGAAATATCCTGTCAATGTGATAGAAAATTCCACTCGTTCTTCTTTCAAATGCCAAATACTATATTCGAGTTGTTAAGCCTTAAAGGATTGATAAGTTCTTCTGGATTATTACAAATAACTATGCAATTTTAAATAATAACTTTATTCATTTTTCTGTATTAACGTAATTAGTCAAATGACCAACAACCCGTTCCATTGTTTCCTGCTTTGTTTAGTGTCAAAGTAAAAGCCATGTTTCGCAGAGATATAGTAATTATTATTGTTATGGCAAAATGTATGATTACGCATATTACACTGCATCAAAGATAAGAAACTTTTTATGAAAGCAACAACAAAATTGAGAAACTTGTTTTTTTGTGCCAATACTAAATATATTAATATATGCCAGACAAAATGAACATTATTTCACAAAGAAATTTCAGGGTCAACACCACAATTATATCTGGTTTTTCCCAAGATAATCAGAGCGATCAATCCAAATGTATAAATTCCCTTCACTTTAGTTGATCATGCTTTATCTGGATCAATTCAATTAGTTTTTGCTTTGGCTTTATTTTGGGCTTTTCCTTTTCTTAAGTCTTTTGTTTAGTTCCTGAATGACTATGAAAATGAACAAAAAGAAAATACTATTCTTTAAATTATTGATCAACCTAGAAGCACCTATTAAATCAATATTTAAATAACAAGCATTCTTCTCTCCTTCTCTAATTCATCAAACTAAACCGTTTTTTTAATTTCTACTACTTGAAAATGCTAAAGTAGCGGCACTAATTTCTTGTTTTTAGCTGCTGAAACAAAAATACCCAGATCTTGCAAAAAATCTCTTGTTTTGCAAATAATTACTTGCACTCAATTTGCTTGCTGTCTCCATATTGTTAGGATTATTGATTGATTAATTGATTAATTGATACTCTTTAATGCTTGCTTTTTGGTAATAATCACATTCTCTAACCCGATTCTTCATTTACCACGATAATTCGCCTTCTCTTTCGGCTAATTATTCTCCCAACTGTCAAACATCACTTCCTCAATTAATTGCAACTAGCTGCGACATATGAAAATTGAATTGCGGTTTTCTTTTCCAATTCACAATAGGTCTCTTACGTTTATTAGAAATGAATTTACTGGCAAGTTTATTATTATAAAAAAATGCTAACTTATTTTCTAGCAACAAACTTGCATCTATCATCAACATATCGCCTTGCAAAAATCACTATTATTTCATTTATGACTTTTCTGTGCATGCATATTTTGCAAATTCTCTAACGTTAGTCAAGACTGTTCAAAAAAATTTTCTAGTTTAGAAGAAAGGATCAGATGAATATTTTCAGTCATACACACATACTAGTGTTGATAACATCTTTTTTTTTTTTTTAATGTTAAACATAACTTTCATTATTATATTAGTCTTCTTTTCCGGAAATAAATTTTTGATGGTCCAGGAAAGGGATTAATAATGAATAAATTTCGATTTATCTTTTATCTATAACATGTCGATTGACCAATCAAATTTATGATAGCGTTATATTAATTTACGTGTTGCACAAATTTTTATTATGCAACAAAAACAACCACGTAACAGAAGAAAACAACAAGATGAACGGATACCCATCAACTACTGGCACTTTTTCTCTCACACCAGCTGCTAGTCCTACTTCAACAGCTGCTCCTACTTCAACTTTCAACAGCAGCTCCCACCTTCATTCCCACTCCCAATCTAGTGGAAGTGATTATTTTCCAGTATGAATAAATTTACCACCACTATTATTATAATCATAACAACAACAACAATAGACGGTGGTGGTAATGTCAATAATAATAATATAAATATTAATAGTAAGTTATATATGTTTGTTATTTTTTTAAAATATTAATATAAAATAATGCATAATAATAAATTCATAATAATAAATTCATTCTTATATTTCTTTTAAACAAAACAATTATTTAGCATACTAAAGGAAAATAATCAATGTAAATCATCTTGAAAGATGATGGTTTTTTTTTCTCACGTTGAGTTGTTGTTTATCTGCCACTAAGAGAGAACTGGAAGCTCTTCGTGGCCACAACTTGTGAAATTTGCCAATTAGGTAACCAGCCCTAATGTATGGCAGACAATCTGTTGTGAACGTCCTTCTCTACACCAACTGAAAAGCCTGCTAATGTGGATCAGGGCCTGTGGTAAATATGAGAATTAAGAGACTGGAAGCACTTTGTGGCCACAATTTATGAAAGTTGCCAATTAGGTAGCCAGTCCTAATGTATGGTAACAATCTGTTGTGAATGTCCTCCTTGATTCTGGCAATGATCATAACTCAATAATGGTGATAAAAGGCTTATAAAGCATTATTCCATTTTCGTACTAGTGTCAGAACTTAGATCCATAGCATCTATGATGCTAGTATACTGAGTCAATGGCACTATATTGAAAAGTGTATTTATTAGATTCAACACCAATAGAACATAATATTGCATCAGGAAAATGTGTTTTTTTTTGATACATGTATTATATGTATATTATACACGTATTATTTTACATTAAAGGTGATCCACATATAATATACATATAATACACATGTCCATAAATTACACACGAATTATACATATATTATATGCAGATCACCTGTAATGTAAAATAATACATGTATAATATACATATAATATGTGTATCAAAAAACACGTTTTCCCGATGTCTCAGTAATATTTTGTTAATTTAATAGGGATCCAACACAATTGTAAATGAGATCACCAGTTTTGAAATCAAAAATGCATTCTTTACATCCCTAAATCATGAGTTTTGAAATTAAATTTGGTATTAGTATGGTATGTTAATTATAAATGTCTAAAATTTATTTTTCACAACCAATGTTGGTGATGCTACCTCTGTTAATGAATGACTTGGATTCTCAATTTTCTACTGCTTAATACGAGTAAATGTTTATCATAAGAATGGTGGTGATGGCTATTGCCAGTCATTGTCACTCTAGTTAAAATAATAAGAATCATATTAATATTTAATAAATGTGTTATATATTATATTAATTAATAATGATTAGGTGTGTCGTACCTTTTTGATGATTGAATAATGAAAGGAAAGAAGAAAGAGTAGAAGAAATGATCTAATTTGATTTACAATTACGGTATACTTAAGTTCTTTTATTAGAATTGTTTTTAAGAAATTATTGTCACCAATTATTATTTTGGAGAGCATATTAATGATTATGTGGATCAGAATGAATTAGCCATTACCAACGAATTAGTTTTATTAGTGAATAAATTTATTATTGATTTTATAAAGAAATTTATTATTTAGTCAAAACTAATTTATCAACTTATTTCTAAGTAACTTATCACAAAGTTATTAAACTTCTTACAAAGTTCTTTTACAAGTATGTTGAATTCAAGTTTCTTATTTACAATTTTAAATTACTTGATAACAATTTTGTTGTGATCTAGCACTCTAATTAGTGATGTTAGCCAATAGAAAAACCTTAGCCAGCTAAGAACTTAATAAATCCCAGTTGATGAAAACCTTTTCAGATGGTACTAAGCTAGCTGGTATTATTGTTACTACTACTATCATTATTTTTATTACTATTATTTACTATTGTTATTATAATATCTTGTCTTTAATGATTCAAATTATTTGTTTTTTTCATTAGGAATTTGAATATTCGAATTACATTGAAGATTTATTCGAATAAACGAATAATTTGAATAAAATGAATAGTAATAGTTCCAATAAAACAAATAGAATGAATAATTCGAATTAAAATAAGAAATTGCATTACGAATAGAAACTCTATGACTTTTATCCTGCTATTATGTTGCTTTTTGAGTGAATGTATTTTTTTTTTGTTATTCTAAGTAATGTAGATGGATCCACCTCAACTAAATGTCTATGCCATTGAATTCTGCGCTAAAATTTCATACAAAAAATGGAATGTCAAGAGAAATTTTTTTTGGCCAGCTAAATCGTTTAAAAATTCCTTAGCTGGCTAACATCACTAACTCTAATTACTATTCAGCAATTTAATTATGAACCCACACGAATTTGTGATTTAATTCCGTCCAAATAGCTTTTAAAATGCAATATAGTAATAGTCTTTTAAATGCAAATCCACATTAATTTCTACTAAATAACTAATTACAATGTTATACAAATAAATAATAATAAATAATATAAAACAAGTTTTTAAACGAAAACGTGACAATGAGCTTTGTGTCTTTTACTCACACAACAACATCACTCAGGTCAAGACAATAGTCTATTTTATTAATTCAAAAAAATACAAATAGGACAACCATCCCCACAGATTTTTTTCATTTTTTTCGTAGAGAAATTCCTCTCAGGCCATTTCAGCACACAAAACTCAACTTTCTACGATGTCCCTGTCCACCTTCAAGCAATCAAGTTTACAGATGGTGAGCACATTCAAACCATGAAATCATTTATCATTATACAACGTTATACAAGATGGTCAAAAAATAAAATACCACTGCGCCGAGTGTTTCATAGCATTATAATAATAAAAATACATGATTCAATTGATCCAATCATTAATTTTAACCTACGCAATTGTTGATTGACCAGTCAAAATCGTGAATTTTATAACGTAAAAATAAACGTTAATATAAAACATTGATTCATTTTGTCAACAATCACTTTACCAACAGTTGTTTCGTTAACAAATGGTTCGAATTTAAGAAGTTGGAAGCAACCATTTGAAATAGTCTAATAAATTAAATTGTACTACTCGAAAATGTATTTAAAGGGTTGGTTTTCGACTTGGTTGAAGAATAACTCTCTTCCTAACTCTTCTCTTGACCATATCTCTCGATATAATCAAAATAACCTTAATATAAAGAATTTCAAAATGATTGTAAACGCGACCAATTTAAGATATATAATCAATAGGAAGCATGAACGATGTATGAAAAAATCAAACACATTTATTTAATAAAACAAAATTTAAAAAAAATTTTATAATTATTGTGTAAATAATTATAAAATCAATATTGATTGATTTAAGTTGCTTTGCAATAATAAACCCATCTTTATCTTTATCCTTATTATAGTGATCAACGAAAAGGGTAACTTCTGGTCTTCGCTTGAAAAAGCATAACTTCGGTTCTTGCAAAGAATAATTAATGTAAGACTCTGATAGAAATAAATAAAATTAATCGTTAATAAACTTTTAAAATAAAAATAAGAACATTGTCTTTATTTTCTTTGTTTAAAGCGCTTTGATAAAATAAACAATTTCAGTTAGTGCCTTGGTAAAAGGTAACAATCGCAGAGCTTTGGTAAAAAATCACGTTTATTTGCTTTAGTGAGCAAGCAAGCAAGGGTAGGACTAACGTTGTGTGTTAATTAGTGTTGGTTGCCAAAACTATTTTGAAGAGGCGAAAGTCAAAATTAAAATTAAAAGTTATATGTCAAAACTAAGTCAAAAGTCAATAGCCAAAATCAAAACTAGTTTCGACTTATGGCGAAACCTTTTAACTTTTGAATGGTTGCAAAACTCTCTAGTTTTGGAAAACAACACTAGTGCTAATGAAGTATCATCCAAAGGTTAATAATCGGAAATAGTAAGCCAAAGCGAGTTTGCAATCGGCCAATAAATGTAAACAAGGGTAAACAACTGAAAAAAATCGATCACAAGTGAATAAAATGAACTTTATAGCATTGCAAAAGGGCTATATTTATTTATTTACAGTTATCTGGTACCATTAACATATTCGTCTAGGTTCAAGAAAGAGAGAACCAAAGTAAATTCATAAACTAACTAATTGACAAGCATCGAATTATGTGCAATTAACTGACAAGAGTAACAAAAGTTAAAATGATACCTCGCAATATCACCATTTAACAAGAATCAGGAAACTGTAAAAAGTTTATTATTTCAAAACATTATTATAATTTAGCTTTGAAAAACAAAATAATGATAAAATAAAAAAAGATAATAATAAATTTATAGTGGAGATTAAATTAGTCATTCATCGCATCTTTTCTTTTACTATTGTTACTAATCGCATCTTTTCTTTTACTATTATTACTATAATCTAATATTTATTAATTAATTAATTAATCTTGTAATATTTAATATTGATAGTGATTAATAATGAAAGTTTTATTCACCTTTGTTGACATTCTAGAGAAAAGAGTTAAAATCAAGATCATTTAATGAACTATCATTACTTGTATAACTTTTTAAGCTTTTAGATTTAGCAATCTCTTCATCCAAAATTCTACTTGTATGATATGCATCTGGATGTGATTCATATACTTGTTGCAAAGCACCGCTGCTGCTGCTACCATCATCATTAAAATCAATTTCATGTTTCTTGATTTTAGAAAATTTGAATAACCTTTTTATTAAACTATTATTTTTTAAATTTTTATTTGTTAAACTTTTATTTTCAAGAGTTTCATCTTTAATAACTTCGTTAAGTTTATTTATAGCAAACTTCCGAAGTTCTCTACTAGTTGGCCTTTTTGATGGATCCACATCCCAACACTTCTGCATCATTTGCACATAATCATCAGGCATTCCAGGTAATATTGGTGGTCGTAAACCTTCTGCACATATATCAAAAATCAAACGATGATTATGAGCTCTATCATCAAATGGTGGGTGACCTGCAAATATTTCCCACATTAACATTCCAACACTATAGATATCCGATTCTTTTGTGTTTTTTGTGTTATTGCCTCTAAGTAACTCGGGTGCAACATATGATACAATTCCATAGACTTTGTTTGATGACTTTTCATCAACTGGTCCACATAACCCCAAATCTGTAATATAACAACCACCTCCTTGCAATAATACATTACCACTATGTAAATCACAATGGATTAAATCTTTTTCATGTATATCATCTAATGCTTCACATAAATAATCAAGGATTGTAATTCTATCTTTTAATGTTAAATTTAAATGGTTTTTTTGTAAATAACCCCTTAAATTTCCATCTGAATGATAATTTAAAACAATTGCAAAATTTCCATTATCTAGGAATTTAGTTATACCATAGCAAAAAACAATCAACCCTGATTTAATTTTACAATAATTCATTGCCTGAAATTGAATATAAAATCAATTAGTATGATATATATAATACAGTATTGTTTATTTTGTTTAAATGACAACTACCCATCTCATCAAAAAAGGCTTTTCCTGAATTACTTGAATCATTTAAACTTTTTAATACTACTAGTTGCTCTTCTAAATAACCAAATTCTTTTTTATTTTCATTGTAATCATTAATACTTCCTCTTATCCATGTAGCAGTAAAAATCGAACTAAATCCACCTTCTGTCAACTTTGTTATATCCTCAAATTGCTCAAAAGGTATCCATTCTAAAATATGTTTTGGCAGAGATGATTTCATTTGACATTGTTGAATAAAATCATCAATTATGTTATTTCCAGATGTCCAAGTGGTGAAAAGGCTCTGCAATTGTAAACTAATACAACCTTCACAGTACCTATCAGAGTATTTTGTCAATTTACACTTGTTACATTGTTTTGGTTTTCCCTGTTTATACATTGCATTGTTTAATTCAAAATCATAAATAAACCTTTCCTTACAATATTCTTTTTCATTTTCAATAAGCTCCTTGTTTTTTTTGACCAATGAAAAAAAATAATCTTTTCTATTTTCTCTATCGGAATTAGTCATTGCATTATGATGTGTTTCACTATAAATTTTACGTAGAAAGTGTGTTCTTTCTAGTGATAATGTTGATAATAGTTTAACATGTGACATTATGTAAAAATATAAAATATAAATT